AGATCTGCTTTGAGACTAGTCTAATTGAACTCTTGTACAAGACTGCCCTCTGCTGGTTCTATTAGTAATCCACAGCAGTGGTCTCCAAACTTTTTTGATCGCGCACCCCTATCAGTAAAAAATTTGAGCACGCACCCCCTGCTGCGCCGAAGCGTGCCAAAAAAAAAAAAAACCCTGACTCCCACCCAAACTGCTGAAGTGCAAAAAAACAAACAAAAAAACCTCCTCCTACTGTGCCCCCCCCCAAGGATCCTCTTGCACACTCCTTGAGGTGCACGCACCCCACTTTGGAAACCACTGATCTACAGAATCACATCATTCATACCTGGGAAAGGGAAGGCCTGTTTTGACAAATGAAAACCTCCTCTCATGCATTGCTGTGATGTCTCAGGTGTGTTTGTGGAGGTTTGGACTGTTTATTAAGATGAAACAATCTTCCTTGCACTTGAAGATAAATAACTCAATCCACTTAAATGATATATGACCTGGGAACAAGCTTTCTTTGGTATTGGACTGAAATCAAACTTTCCCCAGTCATAGGGTAGCAAGCATAAAGGGTTTAAAATCAGAAAAAAAATGAAGACCACAGTAAGCTAGAAGGATGTAGGATACCAAACTCTCTCAAACCCTGCCCCTATCTGTGGTCACTGAAAGGCAGCATTATTAAAAAAAAAAGCAGCATCAGATACAGGTGCATGCAAAACACAAGTAAGTGTCTAATAGAGCTGTACAAAACTCTTAACTCAGAAATTTGCCTGCTTTCCGGTTTTATTACAAACGACACTGGGGCCAAATTTGTAAGAGATTTTGGTAATTCTGGTCTGACTTCAAATGGACCTTGGTTGACTAGTTTCAAGTGAATCCTGAACCATTCAAACTCAGTTGTACTGCCCAGTCGGTTAGGTTTGTACCCATCTGTTATCTCCTGTCTTGTACTTAGATTGTAAGTTCTTTGGGGCACGGATCGTCTTTTTTGTTCTGTGTTTGTACAGTGCCTAGCACAGTGGAGCCCTGCTTTAGGACTAGGGCTCCTAGACACTACAATTAAACAAAAATATGGTTAAGCTCAAAACTGTAAGTCCAAGTGAACTGAAACAATAGTCCGGAAAGCTCTCTTGCTAGCCTCTACATAAGCTGTTTAAAGCATGGAAGAGAATCCTAAAGAAATCTACCATTGACTGATTTTTGTTTTAGAGCATCCAACTGGAATGTTGGTATAGGATGATAACCTGGAAAAAAAATCAGGAGATGGGAAAAGGCAGAATGGATACCTCTGACACTACATACACCACCAAAGACTATGGGTTAATACAAGGAAAACAAGAAAGCAGAGGTGACTTTATAGTAAGGGTGTGTTTTAGACTCCGAATATCGCAGAATTGGAGAGAAGAGGTAATACTGTTAATAGCGATTATTTTAAATCTTGAAGATTTTTAGCCACCAAGGGTATCTCTGCACTGCAGCTGGGACTGAGCCACCCAGGCTGGGTAGACAGACTTCCGCCAGCAGGACTCGAGGTAGCGGCCTTAGAACTGTGGACTTTGCAGTTTGGGCTAGAGAGTGGGCTCTCAAGCCCACTGCTATTTTAATTGCGCTAGCTCAAGCCTTGCCAGCATGTCTGTACAGGGGGCCTGAGAGGATGCTTCCAGCTGCAGTGTAGATATACCCCCTCCCCAAGACATCAGACATTTTTAACTCTAGCTGAGGATATTTGACCACAAACTAACTGAATTTAAGATGCAAAGAAGGGGGAAGAGTAGCACGTAATGATATTCTAACATGAGATTTCTGTAAAGCAAACTGTTATAATGGAGAAAGACATTGGGCATCATAAAATAAGTTTTGGATGGGGGAGGGGAGAGAAATGGAAAGTCTAAAGAAGACAATTTAATCAGAGAATCTAGTAGTTTTTTAAATTTGGGATTAAGCCAAGAAGGGGTAGATTTAGGCTCGGTGATTAAAACTTCCAGTACTCAAACAATCCATCTCTCTGTTAGGGCTTTCTATAGCGTATCATTGTAGTACCTAATGCTCAGGACACTCTGCATACTTAATAAGTTTGGGGGAAAACCACTGCATGAAATAATGCCAACTGGAAGGGTGAAAGGCAATTCCAAACATAGCAAGTCAGTTCTCATCAGGGGATTTTGCAGGACAGCATCACACTATCACTGAGTATTTGAAGGAAAAAACAAACAGAAACAGGTAAAGATCAACTCTTATTTACTTATCATGGGAAAACTTGGTAAGGCATTAATTTCTTTGTAAGACAGCATGAAAAGGTAGGAGCAATATATTCAGAAGGAAAGTTAGGTTCAGAGTATTACCATGTTAATGGCATCTAATCTCCCCCATTATGTCAGGCCTACTTTAACTATGCCTCCTTTACAATCTTTAATATTTGGGGACATAATCCGTGTGCAAGACAATACACCAGCCAATTTCAGAATTAATTTTAAACCAGCTATCTTGACTGCACAGCAGCAGGAGGGAGTGCGACTACTTCATACTCTGCTAGCAAGAATGTCTGTTTTGGGGTGAGGGGTTGGTCAAACCAACCAACTTGCATTTAGATTTGGATAAAACTTTTTTAAAATTTTGAATTTTACAGATTAAACTGTTTATCATCTAAATACATTGAATTACCTTCTGTATAGTTTTTCCAGGAGTATATATTATATCTTGCACAAAAGTCACCATTCACTGTCATGTGCTAAAATAATATAGCATTATTTGCTACCAGTTTTCATGTACCGGAACTTTCAACTTCACACATCACTTCTGCTCTATTTCTTTTGGTAAGAATATCTTCATTATCCCATTAATTATTATTTACAGCAACCTCCTTAATGTACATAGCTCTTTAGAGGATGTTAACCCTTACAGCAGACTGACCAATTTTTCCACTCCCTCTCCCTTATAGAAATAAAATGCGTTGTAATTATTACAAAAAAAAATTGGACTTGTTTGCAGAAACAGTGATCAAAATGAATTGAGGATTAAACCTGTGCGGTACTCAACTGTCTATGAAAATTAACAGGTAACACACTCGAGGTGAGACTAGAGGATCATGATTGCTTTTGGCCTTGGAATCTGATCTGGCAGTATGACAGAGGCAATGCAATTGTGTGGGTAGGACAATGGACAGACTCAATGTCCAGCAACCATGACATTTTTTCCCCTAGGTAGGTCAGGCCTTAAAAGCCCAGAGGGCAAAGAGAGATGTAGGAATGGAATCTGTGTAATGGTTGCTGGAGGCTACCATGGAAAAACAAAAAAAGCAAGCTACCCCAAATGCCCCAGCCCCATTTTGCTAGACACTATACAGACATTTTAGATGTTAGCCTGGAACCGAGCTTCAGTTACACTGAAATGTTCAGAAGTAATGTCAAATACAGCTAAAGAATATTTATATGTATTTATACTTAGTGCCTTACAGCAGGAGTCATTTCTTTCATTAAACAGATTAAATGGGTCTAGTTTCAGTCCTCTGCCCCGTCCCATAAAATGGAGTATTTGCCAGGTTTTCAGCCTTCCAGGGTCCAAAAGGCAGCTAAGCTTGTCATAGATTAATGCTACCGATTAGTTCAAATTGCCTGTAGTCAAACCCTATCTTCCACTGTCCTGACTACCCACAAATTTCACTCACATGAGGCAAACTTCAACTAGAACATGGAGGATATAAACCTCAAAATCTTCTGAACTTTAGAGAAACTCTAGAAAAAGTGTTTAAGGGCCAAGCCTTCCCAGGGTGGAAAGGCTCTGGTATCTTCAGTGACTACCCTGCCATGGCAGACATCCCTTCCTCCACACAGCTACAACCATACAGTCATGTGCATCTGACATGACCTTACTGAATGTTAGCTTTATAAATAGCTACATTTGGGAGCTCCAGGCAGTCTTTAAAAATATGAGTAATTATACCTTGAAACTAAGCTGTAACTAGAGCTAGCCAGTTTCTGTAAGAGATGATAATTTTAGACACTTGTAAGGTGGTACCTGGAGGCAATTACATTACTTGCAACCATCAACAGCTGTAGGAGCCTAATATTCTTTCATCTCAATCTTAAAGGTCATCTGTGTTTCACTTATTTAATTTCAGTCTTCTAGGCAGGGCTGGCTTCAGCATTTCTGCCGCCCCAAGCCAA